TTTTTTTTTTTTTTTTTTTTTTTCTTTAGTGTACGGCTTCAACATCTAAGGTCATTAGCCTAGTGTTCTATGTAGGTTATGGATTGTACTAGTAGTCTAATACTCCATAGTGTAGAAGTATTAGTACTCTAATACTCCTACACCCCTACAGACAGGCCTTGTTACTGCTTCCTTGCGCCACTTTAGGAACAGCACTGTTAATTAGAACCCAACAGTGAATGGTCGAGTGGGGAATCCTACCAAGGCATCAGAATTAATTTTAAATAATTAAATTAAATAAAAAAATCCCGGCCAACGGTGGGATTCGATCCTGAGACCTTCCGATCTCAAAGTCATGACTCTAACCACTGAGCCAACCCAGATTGCTGAGATTTGTTTTAAATAAAGATTGCACCAGATCCTTTCTTTTTTCAGCTCTTATGGCTCAGAGCGGGTCTTCTCCAAGTTTTTTTATTTTTAACATTTAAGTTTAAAAAGGGAACAGCAGTTCTTTTTAAACTTTGCGCAAAGATAAACCTACAATACCTATAATATTTTTACAATGTATTCTTAATGAAATTAAGAATATTATTACCTAGAAGTTCATTATGAAGATCTCTTTCGTAATAATTTGGAGTAATATGTAGCGTGCATATTGCAGCAGTCACTTTAATAAATTTATCTTTTCGTTTGCAACTATTTATACACTCTTTCTTAATTGTATTGGAAACTCAATCATTTGTTTTCGGGAAGGAATCAAACATTATTTTTATAAATCAACCCAGGCATTACTATCTAATTCTAAAACAACAAACAATTATTTAGAACATATTTTTCTATAAAAAAGGAAATAATTCCAAACTCAAATGTGACACGTTGATTGGTATTTTCAACAAAAACTTTTTATACAGGGTGTGAAATATTTCTGTACATAGCGGGATAAAAAACTACTACGTATTATAGAGTGTGACACTATATTATACATCATTAGAAAGGTAATTTTATGGGGAATTTAGAAATATGTTTATTGCGAAACTTTTAATTGTACCGCCCTCTAACGGGATAAAAAAACTGTACGTATTATAAAGTGTGACACCTTATTTGAAACCAAATTGAATTACTAATTCAATGCACTACATAACATTAATATAAATATCAGCCATGCATTATTTTAAAGATTATTGCTAACTTTATTTTGTTGCAAGTGCAATATGGAAATATTTATATTAATGTTATGTGGTGCATTGAATTAGTAATTAAATAAGCTTTCAAATGAAGTGTCACACTTTCTAATACGTTACAGGTTTTTTATCCCGATAGAAGGCGCTAAAATTAAAAGTATCGCAATAAACAGTCATATTTCTTACTTCCCCATAAAATTACCTTTTCAATGATGTGCCGTACATGGTACATTCCCTATTTAAAATTAAGGCGTTGCAGAAGTGGAAGGGAAGGGGTTGACACATGACAGATGTCTGTATTGTAAAAACGTGTTTAATTTGGAATAAAAATCGACTTATTTAGCTTTTTCTTAAAATTCAATTATTAATGCCGAAAAACAGGATGAAACTGTTTTAAGTGACCCACTCTGTATATCAAAAATGGCTGGATTTATCGAATTAGTTCATAAAACAAAATCTGCTTAAAAATGTATTTTTTACAAGATGCGCTACACAAGAAAGATCCTCCCATCGAAAAAACATTATTGAGTGCAGCGCCACCTACATACTGACCTATTTAAAATTAATTTATTTCTAAAACTGAAGCTCTCTTAGTGCTATGTGAACTGACTATTACAGAATTAAAATATCTATTACTTACCAAAATATTTGGCCTGGGAGTTTTTATTGGTACACCCTGTTTACCTCGAATAACTCTTTTCCTGACCTTGGTCCCAAGTTTAAATTTTCCATGAATGATACCAATTTTGCATCGTTCTGTAAGTAGGATTTTGGTAAATATTGCGAAGACGGCCTTTTTTAAATATACAATTTTTTTACAAAACTTACATTTTAGACTTTAGGAAGGAGAGTATTTTTCAAATATATAACCGGAAACCCCATAAATTAACATTTAAAAAAAATACATATTAAAGGCATATGAAGACCATTAATTGATCATTTATATATTTATTCATTAGAATTTTAGAACTATATCTGTCATGCTCTGTCAATTCAAATATGAGTGGTGTTGCCAAGTGTCTAATTAAAATCAACGAAAAAGAAATTTAAAAAAATACCTTGTTTTTGACATAACATTTCCATACACTTTAAAAAGCACTTCAATAATTTATTTCTAGTCACATCTGACGATTTATTTATCCATTTTGATTGAATTTTTGTAGTACATAATAATAAAATATTAATATTACATCCATCTATAAAGAAATAAACAAAGTACTTTTCGAAAACTTTTATACATAAACATAATTTTATTTTTACTTTGTATTATCCAAAAAATTAAAACAAGTGAATTTATTTGGTTGACAAAATGACGCCAGCTAGCCAAATTTAAAGACTACTATCAAACAAAAGCAGAGCTGAATTAGTTTAATTTGTGTTGGGTTAACTGTGACGTCACTCGGTGAATACTTTAAAAGTCATCCTATTTAAAACGTACATCGATACACCCTTTTTTAAATTACGACGTTCAAACATTATTAAATTTAAAAGATCATTTTGACCCAGAGAGATATTAAACACATTTAAAAATTAATTAATAAATAAATAAGTAGTAGGTAATACATTTAAATACTATGGCCATGTTATCTAAACATTTTTTTTTTAATTAAGAAATATTTAGAAATTTGAAATGTTAAGGTATAAGTCGAAATTTATATACAGAGTGTACAAAAAGTAACGTAACATACTAATTTTTAGATTCCTGATAGGTTTGCAAAACAATTTGAATAAAATTTTATGAAATGAAATGAATCAAATTCGCGCGAATTTCGAAACGTCGGTCGGACGGGCGCGCTCGCTTCGCTCACCCTCCTCTGTAATAGTTAGGAGGTGGGTGGGTGGGAGGAGCGTAGCTTGATCTTATAAGGCGGGTGGAAAAAAAGGCACGTCGGCCAGGCCAGATTGAGATATTATGTTTAAGAGTTAATCTAAAAATATAAGAGGTAACTGCACATTTCCTCATCACGGAATTTAGGTTTTTATTTAGTAGACATCACGACAAGTGTTCCTATGGCAACGGTTTCTCCGTAACCGACTTTAGTTACACTAAAGTGAAAAATAAATGACCTGTAACTTGCCAACTATGCATTTCCTTAACACGGAAACTGGGTTTTTGTTTAGTCGTTACCATGACAAGTGTCTATATGGCAACAGTTTCTCCGTAACTGATTACAACTAAATTAACTCATCTGTAACTTGGCAACCACGCATTTTCTCACCACATGATTTGGTTTTTTATTATGTCAAGCGTTACAGTTTCACCTTAACTGATTTTGTCTAAAATAAAGTGAACGTTAAATGATCTATAACTTGGCAACTATGCATTTCCTCACCACGGGATTTGGGTTTGTGTTTATTGATTACCATGGCAACGGTTGCAAAGGCAACAATTTTTACGTAACTGATTTCGGCTAAACGAAATTTGACCTCAAATGACATTATATAAAAGGTTACCACGGTAAGTGTGACGTTACCATGGTAACCACAATACTGTAACCAAGTATGTTGTGGTAAGCGTATCAACGAAAGTCCTTAAAAGTAACCATCGAGTGACGTCACAGTTAACCCAGCACAAATTAACTTGGCTGGTTAGCGTCATTTATCAAACAAATAAATTCACTTGATTCAAAAAAGTTTTAAAAACTTTTGAATAACACAAAGTAATTATGTTTCAAAGTTTTCGAAAAGTACATTGTTTATTACTTTATAGATTACGTAATTTTAATATTTAAAAATTATGTAGTACAACAATTCAATCAAAATGAATAAATAAATAATCGGGTGTGACCAAAAATAAATTAATAGAACTGCTTTTTAGAGAGTATGGAAATGTTATGTCAAAAATAAGGTATTTTTTATATTTCTTTTTTGTTGATTTTAATTGGACACTTGGCAACACCGCGCTAATTTGTGTTGATAGAGCATGACAGATAAATTCTAATGAATGTTTGGAATGTATGGAATGTTAGACGTTAGGAATTGCGTAAAATAAGTGACATAAGAAATGCATGGGCAGATTTTAAGAACATTGATATTAAAGTAGTTAGAATAAACCGAAAATTCTGAAAATCAATAGGGTTCTAACTTAGAAGCAATTATTCAAGAAAATCAAAACCGCAAGTCAATTAGAACTTTCGTTCTAGAGTTATCGTTTTTTTTGCATTTTCGGACTCAGGATGATCGGAAACGTGAAAAAAAGTATAAAAAAATGGAGGTAAGAAATGTTTTTCGTCTGCACGAATGCAATACTGATGCCCCATAGGAAGGGCCTCAGTAATACAGTTTATTTCTTTATAATGTAATGTAACACATCTCAATGTAGGAAATGTTCAAAATGTTAATTTTTGCAATAAATCGAAAAACATTTAATATTTATGAAACAGTTAGGTATATGACATAGTACATAAAAGATGTCTAGAATTTTCTGAAATATCCAAAAATTGAAAAATATACAGGGTGTTGTATTTAAAATAAGAAAGTTGGTATTGGCCACTGTTACATGATACACCTTGTATAAAAAGTTTTTGTTAAAAAAATGCGCAACTAAAAGTATAAATTATCGTGTCCAAGCGTTTTTTCGAACACGCTCCTATTTATTTATTACCGAATTTATTCCATTTGTCTGTTCCACACCGTATAATAAGTATGTAGATGCAAGAGAATTTTGAATATTTTATTTTTTCAATTGACCAATAGGTAGTTACCATGAAATGATTAAATATCGTTATTTCAATATTGATAATATCAAAAAGAAACATAATAGATCCACTTGAAGTTGTTAAAATAATAAGATAAGGTATAATGCAAATCTTATTATTTGAAAAAACAAATCAAATGTCTGTGAGTTTAAATCATTCACTGTTTTAATCTTAAATAACTAGAATGAATGCAACGATTATTTAATTTAATTTAATTCAAAAATGGGTTTCTTTCCAAAGTTATGTAGTGTAAAAAGTGATCGCGGAAAAAAAGAAGTGGATATAGGTAAAAAATATTTTGTAAAAATAAATGAACATTTAAAATTTATAAGTAATTTCTAAGAAATAAGTGTTCGTCCTGTACATTTTACCAAACGATAATCCTGATCCTGAAAAATTGTAGATTTTTTGGATCTGAGGTCAGCGCTTAAAAATACTTGTGTATAAATTTTGACATTATGAAAAATGAACTTGAAAATTTAGAAATAGTGTGTGATCCAAATTAATGAGTAATTATTTTAAATGTTTTCATACATTATACAACTAGACGACTGAAAATTTTCGATTATACGAGACGTATTGCCTGAAACACCACGAGACCGTAGGTCGAGTGGTGTTTTGTTAGGCAATACGTCGAGTTTCGGAAATTTTCAGTTGTCGAGTTGTATACAGATAGACTATAGCACGACATTATTAAAAAAAAAATAAAAATAATGAAAAAAAAAAAAAAAAAAAATAAAGAAAAAAAGAAAAAAAAAAAGTTTCCTAGGGGAATCGAACCCTGGACCTTGCGATTGCAGAGCGAGAACTCTATCGCTAGACCACCTGGATAATTTAAATAACATTTCTATTTATATATATATATAGTAGGTAGACAGCAATCTACTAAATTTCAAGTTATTTCAAGTTCTATTTACCTACAAAAAAGTTCATGAAATGAAAATAAAAAGTACATAGGTAATTTGTTTTATTTAAATTTATTTATTACTTATATTGAACGTACAATTATTAAAAACATTATTTGACATTGGAGCCACGGCACTTGTAGAGCAAAGAGTGGAGGATGTTGTAGTTGTCTCATTTCTTAAATTTGATATAATGTTCTTATGATGGTCCTCATTTAACTGCAGGTATGGTTGTATTGAATGCTCTGAAGTATGACCCGTAATTTTAATAATTTCTTGGACACTAGTGCCTGCTTTTGATAATCCACTTATTGCGGTCGATCTGTTAGAATGATTGGTTATTTTTACCTTTCTATAGCTTCTGCAGACAGTTTTGTCCATTTATTAATTTCGTTTACTCCAAGTGGACAATTTTTATACCAGCAACTAGTCGGATATTTGTCCCAGTCTTTATTTACAGTAAGAAATAGACGTCTGGTTTTTATATTTTTGGTCCGTTTGCTCATCATTTTATTGTACAATCTAACAGGACAATGAGTGGGGTTTTGTGTATTTGGAGTTAACCATTTACTATCAGTAGTTCGTTGATTTCCTCCTTGGGCAGTTTTGGAAAAAACAGTATTATATTCAATACGTCCTGTTTTCTTGCCGTAGTTGTCTGTTTCTTCCACAAAATAGTCTAAAAGAGCTGACACAGCCTCACCACCACGCCAGGCTAGTTCTATGGCTGCAATATGATAAAATTTACGCTGGAGTCCGGAGGGTGTATTTTCATCTAATGCATTTAGAATTTTCTCAATATCTTCAATATTTAATGCAATAGAGCTACTCTTTCTTTTTGACGGAATAGCTTGAAGTTGTTTGCGTTTGGCGTTTTTCGCGAGTACCGCAGTGCGAAAAACAATATCTTTAAATGGATCGATGGTGCGATTAAACTCTTTGAAGTATTTCTGCTGCACTCTTTTGGCAGTAAGATTCCAAATAGTTTTCACTACACCTTCCTTGTAGTCGGTACCGTCGGCTTTTCTCATGTTGATTGCCCAATCTTTAAGAATGTTGCAAAGTTCTTCATTAGAAGTATTTTCAGTTAACTGATAACTGCGGTCATCACAAAACTTTTCAAATTGTCGCGAAACGAATGATTCGGTTTTTACCGTGTTGGTTGGTTTACTATTTTCAATAATTTTATCAATTAATTCCGTAGAAATATTGCTAAACCGAGCCATGATCAAAATTGACAACTGTCAAATTTTGAAATGGAGATCACAGTTACCTATCCCTCGAGTTTTGACATAAGTGAATATTCGAACTCTTGTATATTCGATTATACAAGGGTTCGAATATTCGATCTGCGTCATAATAAGTAAATAACCGTTGTAATACATGATAACTATGGAAAATCGAGCGTTTTCATTGGTTCATATTTCAATGAGTGGTATAGTCAATATAATTAGATTTTTACATAGCAAAAGCAGCTTTTTAAATATTGGATCAAAAACATAATTTTAATAAAAATTGGACCATTTTAAGCGTCGACTACAGATTTGTGTACTTTATTTTAAGTTTTAGACAGATATTAAATATCATACTAGACCAAAATTTTACTTTCCTACACGCATTTTATTAACATCATCATATTGTTTTTAATTTTGAAAAATCATGAAAGGAATACATGTAGAGAAATTTTTAATTTTGATTTAGTGTCATAAAGTCTGTTTACGTGTACCAATAAATTAAGAGAATTTAAAGGACACCGCACTTTTTACGTTAATTTTGGGTACTGTCAAAATTTGTTCAAATTTTAGTATGTCATTTAAAGACAACTTTCTTAACGACCTCAAGTTTTTAGCTCTACAGGGCGAGCTGTTAGAATGATTCAGAAGTAAGGAGGGAAGAATTAATATTTTTAAATATATCTTTCACCATTCCTAAGTAATTCTTGTTTTTTCCATGAAACTTATGTCATGTGTTATACTTATACGAGCCCTAACCACTATATGTTCCGCCTTTTTATTAACCGACTTCAAAAAAGGAGGAGGTTCCCAATTCGTCGCAATATTTTTTTTTTTTTAATTTATGTTCAGCGATAATTCTGTAACACGGTATCCGATTTCAATGATTCTTTTTTGTTAGAAAGGGGGTACTTCAGGGGTGTTTCCATATAAATTTGGTCAAAATCTAATAATTTGATCCATGAGAAAATCCTCAAACTCTTCATTTTTTATGTATGTTTAGCGATAATGCTTTACCACCTTGTCCGATTTACATGATTCTTTTTTGTTAGTAAGGAAATACCTTAGAGGTGGCCCCATATAAATTTGGTTAAGATGTGGTGATGGTATCAAAACGTTTTTAAAGTCGGTTTTTTAAATTTTTAATTTCTAATTTGATTTCCGTTATATATTAGAAAACTTAAGGTTGAAGAAGAACATTTTTTTTAAATTAGTTAAATTTAATAGTTGTTGATGTTTCTACTATTTGTGAGAGCATGATCTTAATTTTTTTAAAAAACAGTATCTAATCGAAAGATAAATGACCATTTAAATGTTCGAACAATATCCTCCGCAATTAATAAATTCAATGTTTGGGAGGCATTGGAATTTTTGACGTTTAGAATTTTTTACGTGTTTGACGCACATAATGAAACACTAACTTATTTTGTGGTTTGACGTTTTTAAGTAACGTCATTTTTTTTATTTGTTATTGAAAATGGGTAAAGCAACTACAAAAAAATTAGGGATTTCATCATAAACAGAGATTCACAGGCTTGGCTTGTTCTTTAAAAGCATGGCTTTAGATTGTCTTGAAATCAAGCCAACCTTTAAAAATACCAAGCCAAGACTAATATTTTTTTGCAAGCCAAGTCAAGCTTTTTATAAAAAAAGCCTGAACTTCCAAGCTTTTGAAGGAATTATTTACATTAACTGTTTAAAATAATTATTTATTTAAAGTAACTACTAGATATTCCATATAATATTTTATAAGGAAATTCTTAGGATGTGCGTTGAATAGAAAGAGGCTCCTAAGAGGTAATTCAGGTATAAAATCTTGTCATTATCGATCTTCATTTATTTCTAACATATATTTCTGTATCAGTACAAGCTTATAACAGAGCTAGCATTATTTGGATTTGGATAAAAAATTTTCTACTGCGGAAAGGCTTTTTCATAGGAATCCTTATGTTTACTTTGTAAATGTCTTTTTAAAGTCTTAGTTGCCCCATTTTATAAAAAAATTCAAGCTAAGCCAAGCTTTTTGTTTTAAAAAAGCTTGATTTTCAAGCCAAGCCAAGCTTTTTGTTTTCAACCCAAGCTACTTGACTTGGTGAAACAATGATCATAAACAAATATAAACATAAACATAAGTTCCCTAATAAATATCTGAAACAAAATTATGAAAAGGCCAAACATATACCCAGACAACACACCAAATCCCAGAGATATCCACAGAATATATTTTATGAATATACAATATATCCACAGGATATCATAAATATCCCGTGAATCTAATATGGATATCCAAATATCCGTTTATGTCCAGGATATAGATATCCAGCAAAATATCTAATGGGTATCTTCCAGACAATACACGAATTCCCAGAGATATCCACAGAATATCTTTTGTGGATATCCAATATATCCACAGGATATCATAGATATCCACTGGATCTAATATGGATATCCAAATGTCGGTCTTTATTCAGGATATAGAAGGTATTCTGTGGATATCCACCAAAATATATAATAGGTACCTTTAGTAGAGGTTCATAAGTAACCAATGGATATATCCTATAGATGTTTAACGTATCCAGTGTACAGTATTGTTCCACTTTCAAAAAAAAAATTACTCAAGAGTAAAGTACCTTTATTCTTTATACGACTGATAAAATTTGATATTTGATGGTTGTGTTTTAGGTTTTAGAACATGCTCGACTTTTTATAAAGAACAACTTTTTTTCCTAAAATTAGTAATAAAAAAAGTTTTCATATGCCGCCAATTTACGTAGACAGTTGGTAGCATAGGAAAGCTTTTTTATTACTTACATATGATAATTAAAGGACAACAACATAATAATATCTTGACATTAATTTTTTCCACACCCACGGCTTGTGTTTTGATTGATAACATTTGTTTGTAACATTCCTCATCGGATATATGACTGAATGAAAAATTTCCTTCGTTTAGAATTGTCGTGCTTTGTTCTTCTTTTTTGGGCTATGTTATTATGAACAATTTTAAAAGCTTGTTATTGGGAAGTTTTGGTAAGTAGTTTATTTTTGTTAGAAAATTTTCTTCAATGCAGCGTTCCTTCGTTTTTTTTTCAGTATATTCGCGATTTGCGAATAATATAAAGCACATGTTATTTATAGAATAGGTACAA